GACTATTTATTTATTTATTATATGTTTCTTGTTGCTGTAGCTTGGTTGTTTTAGGTTTATTTATTTGATTGCTCGTTTGCTTGCTATCTGCACGTAACATGTGTATGTCGTATTTATCTCTCTTTTTTTTTTTTTTTGTTTATTTGTGTGTCGTTACATAGGTGTCGAATGATGTGTTAGTGCTGATTGGCCCAGGTGATTCCAAATTGTGGTGGGATCAATCAGAGTATGCTTTGATGAGAATTGATGCAATAAATGCTGGGTGACTGCAAATGTATCTGTAGAATGATTCGGAGTTCCAGCAACCGATTTTCTGTATTAGTACGAGTTGCACACCACGCATGACAAGTTCTGTTGTTCTACCTGCTCGAAAGCTGTATCCTGCTAGGTTCTTGTCTAGGAGTAGTTGCTTGAGTCTTGTGATGAACCAGCGTTTGGTAGCCCATGTACTGTCACCTTTGGCGAACAGTAGATTGCTGTTGTTGGTGTATGATCCTTGTATGCAGATACTCATGTATATCTTCAATGCGCACACAGGGCACAGGGAATCATTAGTTGGGTGTATGATAAGTGATGTACGATTAGTGGACTTGTGTTTTTTGATTCGTGGTAGTTGGATCGTTGCGAAGATATTGCTCCCAGATAACTCGAACTCTTGATTTCATCTGATTGGTTGTTTGGTAGGAGCTCCCCTAGTCATGCAAGACCATAAAAGGCTGACAAAGTGATGGCCCAGAATAGGGTATCTATATTGTTGTTTGCATTCAGTTGTTGTTGAATTTGTAGCAGGTGTTAACGGGTAATGTGAGATTTTTGATTAATAGGCTTGTAAGTATGTGTGGCTTCGATGGTTTTCAGAAGTTGCAACACTAGAGGGTCAGAACGAATGGGGCTCTAGTCATAGTGGTTTCTTGAGTGATGATATTTAAGGGCCAAGAGGTAAGTCATGATAGTAGGGGGTGTGACAGTCTTGTGGAGCAAAGTTATATAATTTATCAGGGAGTCTTGTGATACTGGCCATATGGCTCTGTCATGGTTGGTCTATTGATTAGCTGTGGTGAGGGTTTTATATCATTTGATTATGGCTTCGTACGCTTTGTTGTGAGGTTGTTTTATGTTGAGAAGTTGTGCAGCTTGGGCATCTAGTAATAAATTTGTATCAAAATATTGGGGTTGGTGCTATAAGGATGAGAAACTGTGAATTTGGGTTGTCTTGTTGGTGTGTTGCCTATTGTTTTAAGGATGGAATAGGAGAGATTAATTTTTTGTATAGGTTGAAAATGTTGGGGTTAAGGTAGCGTGCACTAGAGTTGTGAGCAATGAATTCTCGGTGGCCGTTACAAGACAATAAGTCTGCATCTAGATTGTGGATACCAGGAATGTGTTCGAGTTTTATGGTGAAATTGCTGTGCACTTGTATGGTGTAAAGCTGACCAATCAGGTCATTAATTCTAGGGTTTTTGTAATACCCAGCATAGTACGCCTCAGTATTAGATAGGTTGTCTGTCCATATTATAAGCTTTTTCTGTTGCTATAATGGAGCAAAGGTACGTGCTGTGATTAACATAGTCAGTAATTCTCTGGCTTGAATATTCATTGAGTTCAGGTCAATGTTGTTTGACCAGGAGAAAGCTGTGAAATGGTTCTGAAACACGGCCCCCACCGATATTTGACGCGTCTGTGAAAAGATTAAAGGTAGATGGTTGTGTCCATTCTGTATCTTGTAGTAAATGAATACCATGCCATTTTTTGAGTGCTAAGATCTACCACTGAAGGTCTGATTGCATCGGTTTGGTTATTCGAAAGTGGAATTTTGGATTCTTTGAAATCTCCTGAGCTTTGATAAAGCATTAAATAAAGGGATGACCTTGTGGGATGACCTGACATGCCCAGACCAATGACCCTACTATAGATTGCAATTCTTTTCAGTAACACTATTTTTTGTGTAGCTATTGAGATGTTAGAGCTGTTAGCTGTCTTTGCTTTTCAGCTAGTATTGCCGCAAGTAGGGTATCTGTGTCTAGTGTTATGCCAAGAAAAGTAACACTAGTGCAAGGGCCTTCCATCTTCTCATGTTTATAAGATATGTTTAAAACATCAAGGATACGAATGAATTGCTGAAGTTCACGTTTGCCGTCTGTAGGTGATATTATCAGAAAATTGTCTATATAGTGGATAATTGCGGGAATGCCTGTTGGCATGCTACCCATGTCAGAAGGTCAGCGAAATGGCAAAATATTCCTCCAGAGGCACGGTTTCCGAACACCAGTACTTTGTCAAAGTATAGATCATTTCTGTTTCAAAAATCTTGCAATGTTTGGTCCACGAGATGCACAGGAAGGATACGATAAGCATCTTTGATATTTATTTTTGATAAGGTGCAACCTTTTCCATATTTGTTAATCCAGCGAATCACATGATTTACGTTTTCGTATTTAGTGGCAAAATCCAGCTTGTCAATTCTGTCATTGATGCTGTTGTAGGGTGAAGAAGACAGGTGAGAGATTACACGATAGGCTTGAAGATTTGTGTTTCTCTTTTTCAACCAGGCCACATGGATTGATTTGAAATAAGTTGCAGGGTGGGTCATCAATATCAAATGGGCCGCAGATATGTTTGTTTGCTAACTCATTTGCGATATATACTGTAAATGTATCGGGGGCAATGTTTATCGAAGGAAGGTTGTCTTGAATAAGTCTGGATCGTTCGCCTTTAAAATTGAATCTAAAACCTTCTTTGATACTATCAATAATATACTCAATAAATAGGCGATTAGAGTGTGATTTTGTAAGAAACTAAAGAGCTTGTAGATTAATTGGAGTTTGAACATTAAAGTATAAAGGATCTAACTGTTTATGGAGGCTCAGTTCACGATCAGACATTGGAGGTTTTGGCGGTGGAACAGTAATTAACGTTTCATTGACAGATTAGAGAATTGGTATTTCTTGTGAAGTAATATTTCATGAAAAATTGAATTAAGCTTGATGTTTAAGAACTGCTACATTCGTTCGGACTACGGATCCTGATTGAAAAAAGTGAATTGGTGAGTGTGTATTACTCTATTATCTGTGTATATATCTGTGTGTATTGTAATGTGTAGGTATTGTGTTTGTACTGTGAGCCGCCTGTAAGATCAATTCATTTCATTGATGCTATTGTTTTATTTTTGTGTGTATGTGTGTATATTTTCTCTTTTTTTTATTATTATTATTTTTATTTTTATTTTTTTTGATCTATATATATATGTTGCATGTTGTATTGTTGCTAAACACTTCTATTTGGGTGTGTTAGTTGCTAAAATGTATTATATATAAACTCCATGTTATGAACTGATATACGTATTTGCAGTATATGATTCTCATGTTGTAATATATTAGTCAAGTTTTTTTTTTTTTTTTGAATATCTGTGCTGTAGTATTATATATAGTGTAGTATAAATGTATATATATATGTATATATATGTTTTTTTTTTTTTTTTTGGTTTGGTTAGTTGGGACTTTATTTGGTAGGATTTTGGTTTGGGTTTTGGCTATTTGATTGTCTGGATGATGGAGGTTTGTTGAGAAAACATCTTCATGATGGGTGGTTGGTTTTCCTGCATGTCATACAGGCATGAACCTGTTTGCAGTTGTTATCTTCAGTGCACCTTCTACAATTCCAATTAATGCAGATTTGCCTGCCATCATGCTAGGTGATGTCAGATCTGAGGGCTATTGGTATAATACTAGTGCGATATCTTTTTGTTGTTGTGACATCGAAATTGTCACCTTCAGCTTCAATGTTCCGTTCAAGTAGGGTAGAGTCTCGGTTTGTAGTTAGACCTAATCTTCGGTCTTCATCATATGTAATGACTGCTGAGAACTCTTGTCTGACGCATAGCATATTGATGTGATCACGATAAACATTAAATTCTTGTTCTCTGATATCATAGATTATTAAAACTGCCTCCATATATGTTCTAAATGCCAAAAGCTATTCAGATATGCCATTGAATTTTTGAGTACGATTTCATTTATGAATGGCAATGATACCTTCTTCAGATGTTTGCAGTGTTTGTTCGTCTTCATTGTTTTTAAGACTGGTTTTTAAGTTTGTATAGGCGAACTCATATAAGTCGACGTAGTTGCCAACTGCTATAGTTTTCCACAAGCAAGTTGACAGATTTGGTTTAGTTGGAAACATTTCAATAGATTTTTGACTTTTGGCCCAGTTGAGAACCACCAGAAACGAATACGTTCTGTGCTGATAGCTTGAGAGTTGTTGAAACCATGTACTGGAGGTAGTTCGGTGTAGCTGTAATCGATAGAAGGGTACTTTCATGTGGTCATTTTTATTTTGAGTGTTCCATTCAGTAGAGGGATAGTGGGAGAGCTGTCACAGACTAGTTTGTATATTGTACTTTGCAAACCATTAAGGCTAATTATTAAGTTATTAAGAAGAGGTATTAGAAGACAATTACCTTGCTGGTTTCTAGTGTTGTTACTGCTATATTTTTTCATGTTGGGTCTGTGGCATATTGAACTCATGATTGTGTTGTGGAGTAGAGAGTTTTTCTTGTGAACTAGAGCTGTTATGATGCTGCGAGCTAGTAGTGTCTTGACAATAAGTCTGCTAAATTTGGTTGAAACATAAGTCTAAACGTTCATTTAGTTTGGCAATCATATCCTTGTGTGCCTCATTGTTTTGATCAATGTACAACTTTATTGCTGCAATTATTGTGTTTGACGATGCTTGGCATGCTGTGTCAATGTATGCTTTTGTATTAATATCGATTTTGGAAAAATCAGTTTCACCAGATGTGTCGCCTGCTGGACATGCCTCTGTCTTGTCTGGTTAACACTCTTGCTCATGTTGGATCTTGTTGCTGCTTTTTTCTGTTTTTTTTTTTTTTGCTGTTCTGTTTTTTTTTTTTTTTTTTGCAGAAATTTGATAGAGGTTAAATTGGCTATGAATTAGAATTCGTATTTTACTACGACTTGAAGCTTGTATTTATATAGTGATGTGTTCTATAGCATGATGTTATTGATAGTTACATTGATGGGTCGGTCCGTTTGCCCAATGCCTCCCCTGATTCTGGCACGTGATCTGATTGAATCATGGCGGTCATGTGATAGCCGATAATAGAGTATTGCTTAGTTTTTCAAATAGTTGACTCTGTGTCAACTTATACAAAATTGTCAAGACCGATTCTTCAATATATTCGACAGGTCTTTTATTACAACGTTCATATCGGTTACTGGATATCGCTTGAACTACCGTTTCAACGTCATTATTTTGAATCTGGATTATGTGAACTTTAATTTCTGGTAATCGCAATTCGTCCCAATTTATCCACTTTTCTTAACATCTTCAACTTTCTAGACGTAAAATGTTGTGTGGATATATATTCCTATCGATAATTCCTATACTTAATGTTATATTCTGCAGTTTTCTAGATTATATCAATTGTAGGTGCCCTTTCCCCGCACCTACTCATCGTAGCTGTCCCTACTTCACTACATCTATTTCTTTTCAGTTAAGTAATAATTTCATTGCTTCCCACATCCTATCCCATTTACATGTTATTCATTCTCTAATTTTCTATGCACTCAAATTCTAACATATGTGTAATTTTGATTTTTGATTTTTTTGATTTTTTTTTTTTTTTTTTCAAGCATTCCGTTTTACCACGTGACTCTGATTCCAGTTAACTGTCTATAATCTGTAAGTGCTAATAGCATATCTGCAGTTAAGTATTCTAAACTCAGTCTATATTGTTAATTGTTGTTTGTACTAATATAAATTGTACTAAAGTTTTTTTTTTTTTTTTTTAATTGCTTATTTTGTATCTACTGTTTGTTTCTCACTTTCTGCAAAACTTCCACCTGGGTCAAATGCGATTCTTGATAATGCATCAACATTAACTATTTGTTTTTCGGGTTTATGCTTGACTATAAAGTCATAACCTTGTAATATCATGATATATCGGGCCATCCTGCCAGTTGGATTCAGCATGTTGTTTAGATAAGTAACGCACTGTGATCCGTTATTAATGTAAACTGGGGTCCATGTAAGTAACAAT